CCACCCCCCACCCCACCCCCTCCTGCTTACCAAATCCCGGAAGGGGGGCTTCTGGGTGGGTTGGGTCTGTGCCAGCTGCAGTCTCCATAGGACTCAGCTGTCCCTTGACAGCATCCAGCCAGCCCTGGGGAGAGCCTGGGAAGGGAGACTCATGGGGAGGGGCAGTTGGAGAGACAAGCATCACAACCAGCTCAGGGTTGGGGAGACACAGGGCCTCCGGACCCAGGTGGGAGTCCTCTGTGGCCAGAAGCTGTCTGGACTCTTCTTTTTTTTTTTAGTACCAGGGATTGAACTCAGTCAGGTCCTTGCGCTTGCGAAGCAGTGGCCGGAACCACTGAGCTAAATCCCTAGCCCATGGACTCTTCTATTCTGAATGTTTAGCTCACTGTTCCCTGGCAGGGGCAGCATTACCCATTTGTGCCCTTCCTCATCTGCCCAAGTTCACACTTCAGGAGCGTGGCAAGTCGATGAAGGGTGATGCTAGACTGCAGAGCATTGATTCTGGAGGTCTGCTGTGTGGCACCTTGGCAGGGGTGGTCAGTGGGGAGAAGTGGATGTGCAGGCCTGGTGTTTTCCAGGAGGGAGTCCCATCTGAGGAGCCTCACCTTCTGGTCCCAGGCCTGGAGAATCTGTGCTTTGGGTGTGCAGAGTGGGCTCAGTCACTGGGGTACCCACACATACTAAAGCTATTGGCACAGAGGGAGGGGGCAGGGCAGGTGCCCTTGGGCTCTGCCAGGTGAGCTGTGAGCACCTGAATACCAGGGCTAGATGAAAAGACCTTGGTAATTGGTGGCCTCAGCTCTTAAGAGAGAGGTGGTCTGGATGTCTGGGGTGGGGAACATCAGAAGGTAGACAAGCTAGGCTGGGGGACATGGAGGAGCAGGGGTGACTTTTCATGCTAGAGCCACAACCTAGATGTTTTGGGGGAAGTTAATGCAGGGATCTACTGTAGGAGCCAAGTCTGGTGGGCAAAGGGCAGCTGCACACACTCGACCTGGTGGGAACCTTGGCCCAGTCCTAGGGGAACTCTCAGTGCCGACGCTGATGCAAGACCCAGGCTGTGCCTCCGTGTGTCCCTGAGCCACACCCCTGCTCCCAGGTCGGGTTGCACCGGAAGAGCTTGGTCCTCGCCTGGGGAGTCTGGTGGGTGGTGCCACGGCAGAGACCTGGAATCCCAGGTCTTCGGAGTCTGGGGCGGGGTTGTGCGCAGTTGGCTGGCAGCTGGGATCGACTCTGGCGGGGCGGAGCTGTCCCCTGCCCCTTCCCAGCCCTGCAATCTCTGTAAGTAATGGCGGGTCGTGTTCTCGCTGTGCCTGGCACCAGGTGAGCGTCCGTAGGGAAGCCTTCTTTGCGCACGTGACTGGCCGCTGTTATCATTGTCACCCATGGTCAGGCGCCTACCTGCCTGTTGTCTGGTGAGCTGCTGCCAGGTGCTGGGGTCCATGTGTTTCCTCCCTCCAAGTGTGGTGGTCCGGTACAGGGGTGGTCTCTGGAAGTGCGTGGAAGGGATTGTCTCACGGGGTCTGCCTGGGAAGGGATGGGGTGGGCCCTCAAGCAGGTCTGATCTCTGGACCCCTTTGGGCCCATTCCTCCTGGCCCTGTCTGTCCAGGACCACTGTCCCCTGCCAAGTGGTGATGGTGACTGGGGTCTGCTGATGCCCAGGCTCCTCCCTCACTCTTGTTTTGAAAACAGCAAAGGCTCAGATTTGCCTGCGCCCTGGCTGTTTTGTTTCTCCTGATTTGTTTAAAGCTCCGTCTAATTGCAGATTTGCATGTTTGTCGTAGCAGACCGAGGCCCCGCCTCCTGGCCGCCAGCTGCGTTGGGGGAAGGGCACACTGCTTCTTGGTGGCCCCAGTGCTTTGGCCACTTGGACCCCCACTGCTTCAGGCTACCTTAGGGTGGTTGCACCCACCCTCCCCAGCAAACCCTTCTCCCAGGTCCCCAGTCATGGAATCACACAGTGCTACCCCGACTATCACTTAGGGAGGAGGAGGGTAGTACCTGTGCCTGCTGGGCCTGACCACTTCAGGAATCATCTTTCTCTATCTACTGTGCCTGGACCCCCACCTGGCCCCTCCCTGGTTCCCCTTCTGCCCACAGCCCTCTGGCTGGGTTGGGGTAATCCTGAACTGCTCTTGCCCAGGTTGGATTTGAGCATTAAGAAATCATCCTTTGGCGGGGTGGAGTCGGGGGTTAGCTCAGTGGTGCTGCTGATTGCCTTGCAAGTGCAAGGTCCCAAATTCAATTCCTGTTACCAAAAAGAAGAAGAGACAAAGAAGAGGAGGAAGGGGGGAGGGGGGAGGAGGAGGAGAAGAAAAAGAGGAGCAGGAGGAGGAGGAGGAAACTGCCCCATCTGTATTGCTTGAAGAAGCAGGGAAAGACCCCCAGCTCTACCCACAGGAGGTGCACTCTGGATCCAGTGCTGGCCCATGGGGTCCATCTGGAGTTGGGATACTCTTCCATACATAGTTCTTGTCCACCTCACCTGAAGTTCAGGCTGGGGAGGAGGAACTCTTTGTCAAGTTGGAGGTCTGGTAGCTGGTGTGGGGCCCATGTGCTTTCAACCCTCTGGGCCATATCCCTGTTCAGACCTTGCCCACAGAGCGCCCATGATGGCTATCATAGAGGACAAATGGTCATCCCACAGAACTGGTCAGGGAGGGCACCTGGGACTCTGAAGAGTGGGTAGGAGCTTTTCAGCTTTCCTTTACTAGGTGTTTATTACTCCCAAGCTGCATGTGTAGAAACTGAGGTCCAGGGCAGCTTTGTAAATAGGAAAGGCCAGGCATGATCCAGCTAGAAAGTGGCAGATCTGGGTTTGAACCCTACCATGTGGCTGCAGGGCTGGCCTGGAGGAGCCATGCTGTCTTGAGGCTGTAGCCACCTCCTGCCAGAGTCTCATCTGGGGTAGGGAGTGACCCTCTGGAGTCCAGGAGGTGGTGCCGAGGGCGGGAGGGAGTTCACGGGGCCACCTGTAAAGAGTAGGAGAGGTCCTAGTTTTTTTAGAGAGGAACAAGCCGTGGCCATTCCCCTGCGAGGTCGAGGGAAGGGGCTGAGGGCCAGGGATGGGACGGCAGGTGGCCAGCCGCACCTACCTTCAGGACAGCGTGGGTGGTGGGCCCTGCCTGCTCCATAGACTACTCTGCTGGCAGGGGTGCTCATTCAGGGTGAGGCTCTTTCCTCACAGCCATGAAGAGCTTGGGTCTGTGTGCACCAGGTCCTGAGCGACCTCCTCTGCTGGCGGCAGCTGGGAGGCCAGGCGGGTCTCTGCATTCTCATGGGGCTGCTTTTCCAAAAGGCCTGATGCTGCCCTGTGGTTTGGCTGCTGCGTTTTAGAGCAGCCTGAGAGCTTCTTTTACAAAGGCTGTCTTGACTGTTGGGGTCAAAGGACACCCTCTCCCTTGGGCTGCATACAGCCCCTTGACCAGGTTAACTCTTCTCTGCTCACCGAGGAGCTGAGGACACTGCCAAGCAACGTGATGCTCACCCTCTGCTCAGCTGGCCCCTGCCGGTCTCCTTGGACTCAGTGTGGGTGCAGACTGGGTCCTGCAGTGTGGGCAGAATGTGGGGGAGTGTGCGCAGGACTTGGCAGGGCTCCCTACGCCCCAGCCTCCCAAGCAGCTCTGTGGGTTAACATGCAGTTTTCCAAGTGTCTTCTGGGGTGACACTGACATTTGCCAGTTTCTCCCGGTAGCTACTGTGCTGCTCACTGAGAACCACTCCTCCTCTGTGAGGCCCTGTGGACCCAAATGGGTCCCAGAGCAAGGATACAAACAGAGTGAAAGGATACAAGAGGCATTGCTGAGTGCTACAGTGTATCACTCTCAGGCTTTTCTTGAATTCATTTAGTCCTTGCAAGTCCCTGGGAGTAGCATTCCTGGTTTCATTCACAGTTGGGGAAATAAGGGAGGCACAGAGAAGTTAAGTAACTTGGCCAAGGTTATGCAGCTAGTAAGGAGAATCCGGGGTAACGGTATGCATGTGTTTAGAAAGCAGTCTTTCCAATCAGAGTGATACATGGACCGAGCTCAAGAAAGCAAACCAAACCACTAGATTTACAACAAAAGGAAGCTGTCCATGAGCACAGGAGAGAGGGGTGTGAAAGGCTCCTGTTCTGGAAAGGCCAAGTGAATGTGCCTGCTTTAGGGCCAGGTCGGAGGGTGGAGCTATGTGGATGGGAGGCAGACACAGGTGGGGTTCTTGGGAGCCCGGGACCAGGTGGAGGCCAGCAATCCTTGGGGGTGACTCAGTCTCTTTGCCTCCTAGAGAACTTCGATGCAGGCCTGGAGCAGAGAGTGAGCTGGACGCTGGAACCCCAGTGAGTAGCATGGGGGGGCAGGTGCAAGCTGTGTGCAGCGATGTCCTTGAGGCTCCTTCTTGGTCCTTGGCCTGGGTGGATGGACAGATGGGAGTTGCTGAACTCCTGTGCTCTGATCTACGAGGCCAGGTCTTGTGCACATGGGCTGGGTGCTGGACACTAGGCACTGGGTTCTGCAACACTGGAGCTGGGAATGTTGAGTGAGGAGGCAGGGGCAGGGCGCTGTCTGCATGCTGTCCGCTGGCAGAAGGCTGGGTGTGTGGCTTCTTGGAAATGAACCTCTAGACTCCGGTCAGGAAGAGGGCAGCTGGGCCCCAAGGAAATCCCCACTGGCCCATCATCTGTGAGGGTCCGTGCTGATTTCAAAACAGGAAGACCGCTACTGCCTTCATTCCAGGAACACAGGGCAGGAAGCTTAGCTGGCTGTGCCTGGCGCCTCTTACACTGCCAGCCAGCCTGGCTACCGGCCTCTTAGCCATCAGATAGGTGCCCTTTTGCTCCCTGGCCTGGCCTGGAAGTCACCTGTGACCTTGTTTGTCCACAAAGCAGGGCACTGCCACCCGTGGAGGTGACCCTGTCTCTCCTGCCAATCCTGAAGGCTTGGGATTTGGGCCTTGCTCTGCCCACCTTGGGGGTGCTAAGGAAGACCTTGTCTGTCACTGTGAGGATCTGCTTATTTTCCTGACCTTCTGCCTCCTACATAGGTGGTTTTTGTTGAACACCTGGCATTAGTCAGAAGGGAGGGAGCCACCTTTGTCATCCATCCCTGGTCTTGTAGGTCATATGTCCTGGGTGTGAGCTGGTGACCAGGGAAGCAGGTGGCTGGGAGCACTGGGCCAGGGCAAGAGCTTTTCTGCAGGGAGTGCCTAAGGGGTCCCCAGTTAGCTCTGGGTTCAAGTCCCAGGTTTACGGTGTTAGGGACAAACTGGAAGGGTGGGTGCGGAGGAGGCTTGGGCTGCTTGTGGAGGAGAAGCTGCTCTCCTCCCCTACTGCTGCCCCGCCCCTGCCTGCCGGAACATTCCATTCATTCCGAGGCTCTCAGGCAGAGCTGGAGCCAAGCTGGGGCCGGGCACTTGGGTGAGCAGGGATGGCCGGCCTGGGGTACACCGGCTGAGCGACTCAGAATGGCTGAGGGCAGGCTGTGCTGCCAAGAGAGGCATGGCTCTAAGAAGAGACAGGAAACACCTCCATCTGCCCTACCTCTCCCTGCACAGGCAGCAGAGCTGGAGAGGATTACCCTGAGGCCCCAGAGGGCTGGTGGGGTCTTCCCGTCTCTGCTGGAAGCCACTGTCTTCTAGGCTGGTCACCATTTCAGGTTAGGGTTGGGGACACCTGCCCGTTCTGGCACTGCCCATCCTCCCTGCTGCCACCTCTGAGCTGTCAGGGACTCCAGGTCCTGTCCTCCACTGGCTCTGGACGCCCTCTGGCTAGCCGAGGGCTAGGTAGGTGCTGAGCCCCGCCTACCAGACTGTAGAAGCAGGACTGCCTGGCAGAGGAGGCCAGCCAAGCCCACACTCTCCTGTGGTGACTGCTGTGGGCAGGGTTTTGCCGGCTGCTTGCTTGTTCCTCGGTTACACTCCACAAGAGGGTTGACGAGGCTGATGGCGGTCAGAGCAGAGGTGTGGGGTGGACCTGGAGGGGGTACCATGGGGCCTAAGCATAGTCTTGAAGGGAGACTGTGATAGGACATGCAGGTGCATGAGAAAAAGCCAGTCTGTTGGAGCAAGCTCAGCTTCTCCTAGAGACTGCAGCCAGGGAGCACCTGCCTTAGCCAAGAACAGTGCACTTCCTTCTTCTTTCTGGAAGAGATGGGTAGAGCGAAGGGTGACAGGACGGAATGTGGTGGTCACAGACTGGTTGGTACCCTGGCTCAACCCACACCATTCTGGCAGCCTTAAGCAAGTCTCTTCCCGTCATGTCTCAGTTTCTTCACCTGAGAAACGGGCCAATGGTAGTGACTCCACAGGACTGCTGTGATTTCAAAGCAGTAAGCCTGTGGCAGGCACTCTTTTCAGAGCCTGGCCTGCACCATATCCCACACAGCGGCAACTGGTGTGCTAGGTCACTGGTCAGCATCTAAGGGTGCACGCTGCAGCCACTTTCACTGGGATATGTGACATGGAAGTTGTTTCTAATGCTTGAATCTCATGCCTTTTATTTATTTTTTTATTTCTGCAGTATTGAGGATTGAACTGAGGGCTTTCACACTGAACTACATCCCCAGCCCGTTTCTTCTTTTTCTTATGTTGAGACAGGGTCTCACTAAGTCACTGAGTTGCCCAGCCAGGTTTGAACTTGTGATCCTCCTGCCTCAGCCTCCCAGAGTGCTGGAATTCCAGGTGTGTACCACCATACCCAGATATGATGGTTTCTTTTATCTAAGAACTTTTAGTGTATAGCAAAAAAAAAAAGATCATTTTCTTAGGGAATAAGAGTGTGGAAGGAGGTGGTTTCAGGTATCCCTACAGGAAGTACCAGCCCTCCGGAGGCATAGGGTGGGCCTGGGCAGAGAGCCTGCCATGGGGCCTGGCCCCACTCTGGGCAGGGCAGACTGGACACGGGGATTCCATTCACTCGGGCACACGAGCATACTTGGAAAATTATAGTGGGTCCAGGATCAGGGTGCCCTGAGCATCAGGAGAGGGTGGAGCAAGGTCCCCAGCAGGAGAGGTTGAGGCTTCTGTGGAGCAGCCCTGCCTGTCACTCAGTTTGCCCAAGATGCCAGCACCCCTGAGCTGAGGAGGATGCTCACTCATGGGGCTTCACCTTCTTCTCCAGGGGGACCCTCAGGCCAGGTTCAGCAGTATTAACTCCTCTCCAACCATCCTAGCCCTGCCTGCACCCTCCCCACTCTAGTCTCAGGGTCCCCCTCTGAAACCTGGTGGATTTGGGGCTGCTTATCTCTCCTTGGAACCTCTCAAGGGCCCTGCCTCTCTGGCCCCACCCCTGATGCTGTGCCCTGGCAGGGAAGGGTGGGCCATGGAGAAGGAGTGGCGGGTTCCTGCCCACTCTGCTGCTTTACCTGGGGTAGGGGAACCTGGAGGAGGGCAGGAAGGTAGGTAAGGGCTGGTTGGGGGTCTGTGGAGGGCCAAGTTGTGCTCTAGGCCCTGTCTAGTCTCAGGTCTACCTTGGGCTGTGCCAGCAGGTGTGTCCTACACCTGCTCGCTGGCTGTGGTCCATCTGCCAGCCTGGCCTGTGTGGTGCTGTGCTTTTTTGCTCCTGACCTGTAGTTTCTCTGGAGCTCCAGGAGCAAGTATGAATGCCTTTGATGCTTCCTGGTGGTATTTTCCACCACCTTGGGGCCGGCCTGCAGCTGCCTTGAGGCCAGGGCCTCACCCTCCCGGGGAAACCCTGAGCAGTCATCAGTGCTTGGTCCCAGTCCAGGGTTAGACTACAGGCTCAACTTGTTGAGAAGAGTTGGAAAATGGTTTCCTCTGAGATCTCCAGTGGGGCGGGTGGTTGTGAAGTCCGGAGAGGGAGGGCTGGGGATTTGGCTCAGTGCAAGGGCAAGGACCCGAGTTCAATCCCTGGTACCAAAAAAAAAAAAAAAAG